CATCTTATTTGCTCCGAATTATTATTTACTCGATATTTTTTAAATAATTTTTTGATTATTGAGTCGTTTTTCAACTATTGAGAAATCTATTTTAGAGAGAATATGCAATGATGAACTTAAATGACTCACTTTAGATGAATATTACATTAACTGCAGCCGAGTTACAATACGTGTTCTGTTCGGTATTTTCTATCCTTTTGGGTATTCCAGAATTATCTATATTTTGTAATTTAGCCATTTCGATTTATAAGCTCTGTGTACTCAGAAATTCCACTATATTGCCTTAAATTGCCTTGTGGCCTACCGACATCCATGATTGTCTAATGTGGTGGTGACTGACGCTTGACTTGGGTGACTTGATTTATAATCGATCTTAATCTTAGATGGTCCTTGATATTACGATAGATTTATTCAATTTTTAAAATCTACCATTATGTACAATAATTGGGATATCAATTTCTTCCAACATCCAGGTCCACAAGTTCATAACCAAGCCCTTAGACATTTAATTAATTAATATAATGCATTTAGTTTATGTTTACATCTTATTCATATCTAGGTATGATTACTCAAACAACCTGTTAATTGTATTAAATGTATAAACTCTTTTTTTTAAACCCCAGGAGGCTCTTAGGCTTTTTAATAGCCATTTGGCGACTGCATCACGAGGGCTGACACAATCATCTCAGATCACTTCCCAAGGAGCCGCACCAACCTCGATTTCCATCCAACTGCAAGCGCAAAACCAACCTCAGAACATTCAACAACTTCAGATGCAACAATCTACATCTCAACAACAACCACAGTCCCAGCCGCGTTCTGGATTGGCTCCTGTTATTTCACCATCCCAGATTCCAGTCACCTCAGTTTCAGCTGGTCTTGGCTTGATTTCTTCCGGACTTACCTCATCTTCTGGTGTTCATTGTACTGTGGCTGTGTCAGGCTCAAGTTCCGCGCCTGGCATTTTTCATATATCATCTGGACAGCAAGCTGGACTATCATCCGAACTAAATCTGCCCACTGGCCTCCTCATTGCTCCATCTCGCATGGCAGCGTCCGGAACGTCTAGTGCGATAAATGTCACCAGTCCGGTCATCAGCGTAATGGCACCATCTGCAACAGCTTCGGCTGCGATTTCCACCACCACCAGTGCTGCTTCTCGGGGTTCTTCATCTTCTATGCTGTTAATGCCAGCACAACCAGCCCCCATAACTTCTAGTTGTCAGCCCAGTGTAGTTTCATTACAGTTGCAACAGCAGCAATTGCAACAGCAGCAATTGCAACAGCAGCAATTGCAACAGTTTTTGCTCTCTCAACTCTCTCAGACACCTTGCTTTGCTCAATCACAACTCGCTAATTCCCATTTGCAGAGTTCTTTTTCCAACGTTGCGCCAGCCTCTCTCACGGGTACGCTTCTTTCGCAACTGAAGCAGCAACAGCAATCCTCGATATCTCATCCAGCTCATCACCAGCAGCAACAAACTCAGCCACAATTGCTTACTCTACAGTCAGATCAACAGACACAACAGGCGCAGCAAGCTTTTATGCTCCTTCAAAACCCAACGCAAAATCTTGTTACTTCTGGTTTGAACTATCCATCTATACAGCAGAGCCCTTTCTCCGCTCAGGTCTGTTGTATTCAATTCTTTATATTTTTAGTACTTGTGGATTTTTTAATCTTATCAAACGTGGCATACTTTGGTTTAGGATGTATCGAGCAGTAAATTTGAATGGCTTTGCATTTTAGACTTTATATTCAGATTTCGATATCTTTAAAAATACTAGGCGTATATTTCGTTCTGGCAAATGCAATCGCATTCATAACTTCATGATTGTAAAGTAGTGTGGGTAAGCACAAATGAACGTGCATTCTATTAAGCAAGTTTGCTCTGTATTAAGCAGATATCAGCTGTTTAAGGATATATAGTGCTGCACAATCAAAATCTAGAAAGCCTTGGTCAATTCTGATACATTACTATTTTAAATAATATTCTAAATTATAAAATTTTACTCATTTTTGATTAAGATAATTTTGTGTTGTTTTTGGTTATGTGCGACCTTCTGTGAAGTAATTTAAATATTGTAATACATTTCTTGTGTTAATCCATCTTTGGATACTTAAATTATATTTTTTGAGATCATATAAATGAAAATCTTCATGGAAATCAATTTTCAATTAGAGTTGTATCTATTCTGGGTCGCATACTATGGTAAAGGGCCGATAATTGAACTTTCATACAATAATAGGAGTAAACTTTACTATGCTATTGATGTGCATTTGGCCTCGCTTCCGAAAATGTATTTTCATCAAGATCAAACTGAGGTTTCGATTTCTACATCGGCACCACGAAAGGAAATCTATCTCCGTTAGTCCAGCTTACCATTTCTAGATGTTACCTTTACTCCACACAACTAAGAGTTCAACCGCCTCAGATGGCAAGCGAGAATGCAAATCATAGCCAGGCCTCTTCCACGTCACATTTTACGGTGAAATTTTGGATGATACGAACTTGTGTCTGCTACTACGATTGACTACATGACTTATTTATTTGATTAGGTTTAAAAACTATCAGTATATCTTGTATTAGAGTTGTATTTACCATTTGTGAAGTAAAGCTATGCGAACTTTATTGACATTATGAGGCCCCTCATATCATTGTGGAAAAATCCAACTACCAACTTAATAAACCTAGGCTGGATACGGCTCTTATTTAAAACCTACTGCTAGTTTTAAAGCTTACTAAATCTGAATATTAATATATGTCATTGACATAAGGCGAATATTTTTCTGTCTGCTATCTAGTCTTTAACACCTTCAACAAAATGCATATTTTTATTTTTTGTAAATTTTTCCTCTAATCACTTATATTTAAAAAAACTTTATTAAATCAACAATTATAAAAAATTGAATGAAATGCTCAAGCCATATCTTAAAAATATCTAATTAATAAACTGCCTCGATAAATGAGAACTTGGTTTTCGCCTTTGTTATCGGTTTCTTTTCATTTCAGAATATATTTTTAATAATGTTTTCCTGTAAAAGTTTGTAAAACAACTATTTTATTAAACATTTATTGAATCAGCTGCTGTGGGATTTTAAATTGATAATTTGCTATGTATTTAATATTTGCCTTAAGGCCGATTTTTGCGAAACTGAGCTTTCACAGAACTCCTATCTATTTGTCGGGGAGACTGATTTCGTATAAAAGTGCATGAAGAAGAGATTCAATAGTCGGTCTCACCAGAAAAAGAGTACTGATTACTGTTCTACTGCATCCGTTTAGCTCTAATACGATGTTCAATTTGATGCATGCAATGAGACATCCTCCATCGTATCGGGTGTAAACGGGCTGTTTGCTGTCTTATGAAGAACGAAAGTTGAGGCCGTTTGCGCACGTAATTAGGGATAAGGCCAACCGAGTTAAAGCCAAACGGGAATCAGCCGTCCTCTTTTTGTTAGATCGACCTTCGGATCTTTTCTTCATGCACTTTCATGCGAAAAGAAAGTGTCACCAATGTTATTTCCGGAAATTCATTTTAATTAATTGAGTCTTCGTAGCTATTTGACTGTTGAAATTATCGATTGTTTTGCATCGTGGCCTAGATTTGCACTTTCTTAAACCTCTTTTAACCTCTTGTCAGGATTCCTTTTTGATCATGTCTAATTAATTCATGTTTTTAATTTGTTTTTGTATGCCTTATTAGTTTACCTGTATTTTTTTGCGTGAATTGCTCACCACCAGTATTCTTCATGCGTCTTGTTGATGTAATTCTTCGCATTCATTTTGTCTTTTAATTAGTCAATCAACAATTAGCATAACATTTGCTATATACTTAATTCGATTCCGCTAAATGAAAACATTGGCAACACAACACCTACATTTTATTCAGATTTGTTCATTCTTCTTTAGTTTTTTTTTTACATAATTTCCATTACATCGTAGGTATGCAGACCGAGGTGGTATAGTATTCTGTTTAGTTGCAGTCCACCTTAGTGTGATAGTATTGGCTCGACCTCGTTTCTGCAACTTGGTCTGAGCGTAAGGGATGCCTTGTGGAATGTACCTAGTACTGTTTACTCTTCCATGGTATTCGGGATTTCTAGCATCGGACTATTCAATGGGTACACTCGCAAACGTATTACCGGCATCGTCAGTGAGAGATGCAATCGTCGACACAAAGTTTCAACTTATCAAAGTCATTTACTAAATCACTTTTGTATGTGGTAATTTCGTGTTGACAATGGCATCTCTAACTGACGATGCTGGTGAAAAGTTTGTGAGTGTATCAAGTTCATAGGTCCGATACTAGAAATTCCAAATACCATGGAAGAGAAAACGTGACTTGGTAGGTTCTATAAGGTTTCCCTGACACTGCGACCAAGTTTTGAAAACGAGGTCGAATCAACGCAGGCTTCATTACATTTTTATTCTCACATTTCATTTTTTAACTCTCAACTCTACGTATCCTTTGTCTTCCAGGACTCGAACACTCTGCTTCAGGCTCATTTGGCCACTGCGGCTGGCCTCCTCACTGCCAGTTTGGCCTCAAATCAGAATCCTGCCTGCCATTTACTGAATGCTGCCTCGCCTGACTACCTAGCTAATTGCGGGTTGACTAGGATTTCGAACCTTCAGCCTCAGCAACAGCAATTTCAAACTTATGTCACGCCAGGAGTGGGACAAGCTAATATCTTTCCTTTGGCATACGCACACGTACTTGACACTTTTTATTCTTAGATATGAAGAAAAACTGGCTTTCGAAAAATTCCTTAATTAAATATTGTGGCATGACTATTTCGAAGGGAAAGTTGGTTGGAAGAAATTCAGGATGTGGTCTCACCGGTAACTGAAGGAGGATTGTTATGTAATGAAGGCTGTTGAATTGTGCAATGAAGCTTTTTGGCCCACCGTCCTGCGTCCCCGATGAATCTGTGTTAGGCTTTCGTCTTTAATATGAAAGACATCATCAGAGCAAAATTCCATACTTTACGAAATAAAGCAAAAATATACTAAACCAATAGAGATGTTTACTTCACTCATTTGCAGCATGTAGAGTAAGGTTGAAGTAGCCAACCAAATCAGAGGAGGCCTCATTAAGATCGCAATATTAGTTGTATAAAAAACGACTAGGGTTGCAGGTGTCTACCTACTCGGGTTAGTATATTTCTGCTCTATTTTGTAAAGTATGGAATCTTGCTCTGATGATGTCTGTCACAGTACAGATGAAAGCTTAGCGCAGTTTTACCTAAGTCGCAGGATGGTGAGCCAAGGACTTCGCACAGTTCAGCAGTCTTCCTTACGTGAAAATCCTTCTTTCAACCAACTTTACCTTCTAAATGGAGAGTCATGCCACAAGCTTTTATTCTTGTCCATATTTACATGGACCATGACATCACCTTCCTCTTTGATTGGAATGGTTGATTCGAATAGGGCTTTTGAATTAGAACAAAGATATTTTCGAGACTAGGTTATCGTTGTTTCCATTGTTTTGATAATCAAGTGCTCTGACCTATTTGCTAATCTATTTGTTGATTCATATTACAGTACTGATGGCATAGACTTGCTAATTTTTAAATTAACTTTTTTTATTGTTATATTTGTGAATATAATTTTATTTTGCCGTTTGCCCACCTCAACATAAGGGCTTGTTGTTAAAGCTGTATAGTCAAAAATAAATAAGGAAAGTTCTTTATTGATTAGCGGGAGATTAAAAAAAAATTTTATTTGACGAATCGAAGGTAGAAAATGAGTATCTGCTTGGGCTTTAGCACCAGAAATTGATACTTGGTGAATTTCACTGAGAAGTATGAGTGAACACCTAGAATGCATATTTATCAAGATGACTGGTTGATGTGGCTGTGCCCACTAGATCGATCACTGTGCTTGAGACTTGTACATAATTACTTGAATCGAGAGTAAAAAAATCAGCAAACTCCATTGATTCTTAAATATGTTTGCTCAAATCCTAACTTTTTGCAAACTATCTGATAAGGTTGACCATATATATATACATATATATATATACCATTCTGTAATCACTTATCCGCAGCATTTTGAAAAACATTTTTTGGGGGATTTCTTTCGTGTAGAATTCTTCTGGCCATCCTGTCATAGCAGGAGAGGGTCCTGTTTCGTTGTCCACGTCAGCTCCCGTTGCGGGAAACTCTACTACAACTGGGCCTGCTTCAATACCTAGCAATAACATATCAAACCTGACTTCGATAACTGGCACTGCCACTACATTTCAGGATTCGTTGGCAATTGCTGCGGCTGCAGCTGCAGCTGCATCATCATCTGGCCCACAGGCTTCACAATCCATTCACCTTACTCAACGAATTCAGACCACTCAGCAACCACCACCTCCCGCCATTGAGCTTCAACAGACATCATCAATCGCCACTACACCACAGCAGCAATTCGGTTCTGCCACAATCCTTCTACCTGGCAATAGTGCTAGCGTCACTGCCGTTAATGCTGCCGCTGCAGCAGCAGCGGCGGCCTACGTACAGTCTTTAGCAGCTTTAAACCGCAGACTTTCACTTAACCAGTTCGCGGCTCCAACCTCTTTATCTTTGACTGCACCTCCAGGAGTGAACACCGCTGGAAAAGCTTTTCCACTCAGTAAATCTATTTATTTTATTATGGTTTCAGTTTTTTCAATCAATTCTAGATTTTCTAGTAATGTTATTATCAAGTTTTTAAAAATTCTTCTATTTGTAAACTTGTTCATTTGTTGTAGATATGAAAACCAAGTTAGTGTGGCCTTCTGTTTGGTCGCTGTCTCCTTTAGTCTAATAGTGTTGGTTCGACCTTATTTTCGCAACTTGGTCGCAGTGTCAGTAAGACCCTGTGGAACGTACCTAGTCCCGTGTCATCTGCCATAGTATTCCTGATTTCCAGCATTGATACGTTCAACAAGGTCTCACTGACGCTGCGACCAAGTTGCGAAAATAGGGTTGAACCAGCACTCATTTACTTGTTTTTTTATTTAGCATTGTGAAAACACTCCCTAATAAATTGTTTTGGCTTTTCAAAGTTAGTCCAAGATCACACTAATTTTATTTTTACTTTTGGGTCTTTTTTTTAACTCATCAATTGCTTCTATACATTCTATATATCGACTCACTTTAAACTACTTAATGCTCTTTCATTTAATTCTGACAATTTATCCCACAGATTGCTTGCGCTTAAAATTATAAAGTATTCCTTTTTTAGCACTGTCTTTCTGAATTCGTCTTATGCTTATCAGATTAGGTCTCTATCTATTCATCTGTTATATATATAATTATTCTTTACTCATTCTTCACAACTGTTTTAGCCTTTGATGTTTTGTTTTAATGTTCTTTTATAATATCAGCACATGCAGCCTCAAATGAGTTTTTTTACATTTCTGTTTCTGGTTTATAACCTAAAGTATGAATTCAGTTGTTTAAAGCGTAAAGTATTCCTTATCCTATTCAGTAATAGGAGATGTATTCACCTTTTTCGTTTAAGGTGATGAAGGACTGGTAGTAGAATTTTCTCACATTGATATGAGTAGAGGTGACGTTTCCATTGAATTTCAAGTTTCCTTGCTTTCCCAAAAGTTGTTCTCATCCAGGGTGTCAAGCTCCCATTCTGCACTGCCACGGTTCGACTACCGCTGGGGGTGTTAATAAGACCGATGCTGGGTCGAAACTGCAGTCCACTGGTGCCTAGATGAGAACAATTTTGGGGAAAGCAAGGCTATGTGAAATTCAATGTAAACGTCAGCTCGGTTGGAGTTGACTACTTAAGTAGACGATGGTAGGACATATCACATGTATTTCATCTGTTAAACTTAGCCTTTTCATTGTATTTTGTTCTCGCTTCAAACTTTTTTGATTATATTTTATTCCAGATTCGTATCCTTATTGGATCTGTTATTTGAATCCACCATTTTTTTGTGTACTTTACAAGATATTTGACATTTGGAAAATGCCTACTAGGGATTTAAAAGTACGGAAGCAGAACGCGTTTGGTCTTCACATCTAAGTTAAAAGCATTTGCATTAAATTCTTATGATATATCTCTCATTTAGCCTTTTCAGGATTAATTCGATTTAGTTTAATCCAATATACTTTTGCTCACTTCGGAATCGCAGGCCGAACGGGCTATTTATGAAAGTATAAAAGTAATATGAGATGTATTCACCCTATTTCGTTTAAGGTGATGAAGGACTGGTAGAAGAAGAATTTCCAAACACTGATATGAGTTGAGCTGACGTTTCCATTGAATTTCACATAGCCTTGCTTTCCCAAAAGTTGTTCTC